CAACCCCTAACATTCTGTGATTCTGTGATAATACTTACACAATAGCATGTTTTCAAAATATGGGATTTTCAGGTGAATTAAATAAAATATATATTTCAAGTAAATGTATCTGAAAGTGAAGTGAGAAGAGTAAATTGAAGTATTCTCTTGACTCTTCTGAATAATACATTTGCATTCAGATGATATTGCCTGCTTTTTGTCTCTTTAGGCAGTTCGTATCCTTCAGGATGATGTTGCATGTGACATCATTAAAATAGGAACTCTGGTGAGGAAGAGAGACACTTTTATAAAAAGAAGAGGACGACTTCTTGGGCCAAAAGGATCTACTCTGAAGGTATTTCTGATAGGTGTAGTAACCAGACAATCCTTAGATCCAAATTTGTGTCAAGACTTCAGTTTACACTTACTCAATTTCTTTTTTTTTTATGTAGGCCCTGGAACTGTTAACAAACTGTTACATTATGGTGCAAGGCAACACTGTTTCAGCTCTTGGACCCTTCAGTGGGCTAAAAGAGGTAAGGGGAGGCAGTTGAGCCGTTTGTGTAGCGTACTTCTGTGTTCTGCTCTAAGGCAGAGAGGCAACATCTGGCAACTGCAGGAGTATCTCACTGACTTTTCAGTTGTGTTTGTAAGCGTCATTTACACAAATGTCCATAGTCTTAGCTGCTGAATTTTGTTTAGACTCCAAGATCTTTCTGTCTTGGAAGTAAAACAGTATTCATGAAACACTGTTTTGTTTGGGGTTTTTTTGGCAAAAATTTTTGTAGTTTCAGATAAGAGGCATAAGAGTGAAAATACTACAGAGTTAATGGTACATAACCTTAAGGAACATCTATTATGTTTTTAGTAACTATGAAGGAGAAGAATGCTTGTCAAAAGCAAGTTTCTCATGACCTCATAGAATCCATGATAATATGAAAGTGGTGTTTGTGGGATGTGCTGGAGTGTATTAGGAACATTACAATGTTATTGATATTGCTGAAGTGCTGTGCCTTCCAGTTAACCATGTGCATTAGCTTTTTAAATCTACCTACTTTGGAGGGCACGGGTGGGGAGAGGAAGCAAGATAGTATACCTGGTATTTTAATTGGTAAGAATATGAAATATTTCCTGAGTTTTCTGTTCTTTTTCTTTTCTATTAAATACAGGTTCGAAAAGTTGTTCTGGACACAATGAAGAATATACATCCCATATATAACATTAAGGTTAGCGTGGTCTGCTGTGCATCTTTGTTTGCAAGAAAGTACTATTACTTCTCAGAGAGCTGTATGTTAATAATTTACAGGTTTCTGTGTGGTTATCTGTTTTTGAGAACTTCTGTAATGTGCTGCTTTAAAAAAATCCTGACTTTGATAACATCCATTTTACCAGGATATATTGCCATTGCATCATTAACAGTATCTAAGAAAACATCGAAGGAAAATCATGTATAAACTTTATTCCCTTTGATTGCTTGCCTGATACTTGCTCATTTAAACTGAGGCACCGTCTCCAGTGCATTCTGTCTCCATTTTGAGACACGTATCTTTCTAGTTCTGTTGTTCATAATTAAACCCTTCTACTCTTACTGAAGTGAGAAATGGAATGTTCAGATCTAGCATATTTACTGTAAGAAAGCTTAGTAAAACTTGTAGATTGGAGCTCTTGGCTACTACTGTAATACTATTTTTTAATGACTTCTTTGTGACATTTGAAAACTACTGAAGACTTTGATGATCAAAAGGGAATTATCAAAAGATCCTGAACTGAGGACACAAAGTTGGGATAGATTTTTGCCGAAGTTCAAGCGGAAGAACTTGAAAAAACGCAAGGAGCCAAAGAAGAAAAATACTAAGAAGGAGTACACGCCATTCCCACCTCCGCAGCCAGAAAGCCAGGTCAGCTGAAACTTTCTGGTTATGCAGGAATATGGCATGACTTGAAATCATGTTCTTGCTAACAATAGACTGGGAGGCCTTTTCTATCAAGGTCTGATTTTTTGATACTATACATCTGGTTTTATAATGTATGATTATCTAAAGCTTCTCGGTACTTGTCTTACGCAGATTGATAAAGAATTGGCAAGTGGTGAATACTTCTTGAAAGAAAGACAGAAGAAACGAAAGCGAATGGAAGAGATAAAGGTAAAGTTGTTCTAACCCACTGTTCAGTTAAAAAGCATTTGACTGCTGACTTGGATGTGGTTTTTTTGCCCTGCTCTACTGATACTTGACCTTTTTATTGGTAACTTTAGGCAAAGCAAGCAGATGCACTCAAGAAAAGACAAGAAGAAAGAAATAAAGCTTTTATCCCACCAAAGGAAAAGCCAGTTGTGAAATCAAAGAAAGGTAACCATTTTTTTTTCCTGTTCTAAAACCTTCTGCTGTTGATTCCTAGGCTGAGTGATTTTGCAGAGATACAGCTGTAGGAAATAAGAAAGGTCATGCAAATAAGTTCCTAGTGGTTAGATCCTTGCTTGGAGTTGCTGTATAGAAAGATCGTGCCGCCCTTAATTCTGTACCTGTAAAATGACAGTTCTCTGTAGAACATTTTCCTTGTGGAGATACTGGAACAGTCATCTCAGTTGGCCGCTCTGACTACATCAGATTTTGACTTCCAGTCTTGTAGTGAAGCTGCCATAACTTTTGCACTTCAAATGGCTTCTCTGTTAAGAAAAAGAAACCCAGAAGCAATACTTGAAAACTTATGCTGCAAGTATCAGTAGAAGACAGGGTAAATAGCTTTTCTAAAAGTTAAAGTGAAACCACACTATATGCAGAGTAAGAACTTTTGTTGTCAGATGATTTCTTCTTTATGCACTAGAGAAACAAGTCTTCAGTTTTCTAGATTCATTGATTATGCTACATATTCATTGTATTAAATACACTATGTACATTTTGTCTTAGATACACTATTACACTATATATTGCACAGTTTCTTATGAGCTAAGAAGTTCATATTTCTTGAAAAGCATATGTGCATTGCAGCACTGCAGTACTTTTTTTGTGATGGAAGTAAATTTTCAATAATTCTGTGATTGACTGTACTATATCTCAAATACTGTGCTTTTCTAGCTGCTCTGTGTTTTGACCTGAAGTCCTTCAGTCTTCCAAGAATAAATGATGGCAATAGTTCGTATGTTGACAAGAACTGAGATCCGAAAAGGACAGGTGGTCCCTACTGTGAGATGTAGGATTTAATTGTGTGAGATAGGAAAGTTAGATCCAAACTCATAACTACCACCCAGAAGAGAGAATACCATCGCCTAGGTGAACATAGGAGCATTTTATTTATGTTGCTCAGCATTAAGGGTTTAACTTAAGTACGCTGGCACTCCCTGTAGAAGTCTTCATGCAGCGGTCAGATCTGTATCATATCGCCCAGCCCACTCCATTCTGTTTCTGATAGCAACTGTTAGTGGATGGCCAGGGAAAGGGTGTAAGAATGGGACAGGCATGTTTGGCATCTTAACACAATAGCTACATGCAAAAAGACAAAATGAAAGCTTCCTCAGGTATAAGAACTCAATAATTAATTTCTTCTTATGTGAGACAAACATAGCCAATAGGCCTATGTCCAAGAGAGTGTGTGTGTATTCATTTCAGAGAACATCTGTTGTCTCAGATTTGAGTGATAATAGTTTGTACATGTGCAGTGTTGCATCTGTGTTCAAATGCAGTTGTACACTATGAGTGTACAAATGAGTGTTCTCCTTTGAATTCTGCAGAAAGAGGCTTGTGGATAGTACTAGTTTCAACAAAAATGATTGTTACAGTAGTTTATAAAATCATTAGTGAACGTTAAATGAGTCCTAACCAATGCCACAGGATGCAGCTTACTGTCTTTACATATGAAGGCATCTTGCAGACAGTAAAAATTTAGAAAAAGTAAAATTAATGTCTGTTACCTTTGTGGTTTTTACTGTGTAGCCTCCACTGAGAAAAAAATTGATATTGAAGCCATCAAGGAAAAGGTAAAGAATGCAAAGAAGAAGAAATTAGGAGCACTTCATGTGGAAGAAGTCAAGTTAAAAATGGCAGCAGATGAAAAGAAAAAAAAGAAAAAGAAGTAATTCACCACCTGAGATGCTCGCTTTTCTCCCACGTTAATGAACATTTTCACACTTGGAAGATTTGAGACATCTTGCTGTCAGTATAATCTGGACAAGAAAAGACTAGGTAGAAAGATCATTCTCTTTTCATAAGTATACTTTAATTAGTGGACCTGAAGCAGCTGTGCAAAATTGCCAAGGTTGGTGAAGAAAATCTGCGCTGCTATGTTTGAGAACAAGAGAGTATGTTTGGATGATACCCATCTGCCTAAAGGGAAGGTTTTGTAATAGAAACATTTAGGAGTTTGATACAGGATGTTAAACATCAGGGTCAGAGAACTCTGTGGGAGTTTAAGGTAATTCTTCTGTGAAAGACTACCAGACTATATGCAGCCTCAGTTACGGTGATAACTTTTGCAAAATGGGCAAGATTTATTACTGTATTATGCTTTTATTTCTGTAAAAGCTGATTATTTTTGTGTGTCTTGTCATGGTGTTAATAAACTATTTTAATACATTGTTCTTAAATCCTTTAATTAACCAGTTGCTGCACAACCTGCATCTTGTTTTCACAGAATCACAGAATATTAGGAGTTGGAAGGGACCTCGAAAGATCATCCAGTCCAAACCCCTGCCAGAGCAGGATCACCTAGACTAGGTCCCACAGGAACACCTCCAATCTCACTGCTTCACATGAGAATCAGACAAACCATCGTCTTAATTGAATGCCTAATAAACTGTCACTTTTTGACATTATCTTAGAGGCTGTTAGATGGAATGTGGTACAAAGCAAGTGCCTTTCCACATGGAACATGCTGCAGGGAAAGCATAAAGTTTTCTTTTTTTGAATATATTCTTAATTTATTTATTGCTTGCAAAAAAATCTAAGAAACTGTTCTTTTTTTTTTTTTGAGACCCTTCCCCTTTCCTAAAGGAAGTTTAGAGGTTTTTAGTTTCCTGAAAATGCAAATTGTGATGAAATAAAGTTCACAGGAAGATGCTGCTGCTTATTGCTTATGTCTGAGATTAATGAATCAAATGTAAAATTAGGAGGTGGTAGAGCCACACCAATTTCGTGATTGCGTTGGAGTGCTTTTGCACATGCTGTAGAAATGATTATGCTAGAACATTGCAAATTGCATTGCAGCTCAGTACCAGGGAGATAGTTCAGACCTCTCATACAGTGGAAGGACTGATTTCAACAGGAAGTATTGCAACAAATTTAAATGCCTGTTCGCACAATGTGATCCCATGAACAACAGGACAGTCTGTGGAGCTAGAAGCTGGTAAGGAGGAGCCAGAGAAGGAGCATGCATGTATGAGGGGAGGGAGGGTCCTTGGTTCTAATCTGGACAGGACGAGGCACCTTTCACTGCATAGGACTGGCATAGATCTTGCCCTGTTTGTTGTTTAAGAAGTTAAAATTAAAAACTTGTTCTTGCAGGCTGGCATTTCATTTCAGGAACTTGATGTAGCTGAGAGTGATTGTTTTCCAGCAGCATCAGGTAACTGCATGGTTGCCTGAGTTGCAGTGCAGGAAAACTGCTCAGCTTGGTGGCAGCTTGGCCTTAAATTATAAGTATTTCCATGGAAGTGTGCTTTTTGAATTTTAGGGACCCACAGTTGAGGCACATATGTAGCTTTCACATCAAATCCTTATCTATATTAAAACTTTTAGCAGACTTCAGGGAGTCGTCGTCTTCTGTTGTTACAGGGTGAAAAGGCTTTGCATTGTGTTCAATCATTTTTGGTTGTTATGGTTGCCAGGTCTTACGGATTGTTGGTTGGACACTTATTTACTTAAACTGGAAAATCAAGAAATCCTACTCATATTCCTGTAAGCAAGTTAAACCAAAATACTTGCTTAGAGTCTGTGTCTGAATGGTAACTGGCTGCATGGGCTCACTGTTGCACCTGTTTTCTCGGAGAATATGGCTGTGCAATTCTAACTCTCGTATGAAATGAAAAGTATAGAAAACAAAGTGCATTTGGAAGGGTGAAAAAGAGGTTTTGGTGTTTTCAGAACAGCTTGAACTATTGCAAGTTATCTCCTTAAACTGATTTTAGAGTTTGCAGACTTACAAAAAGGTACCTGAAGGCTGTACTTGTATATCAGTGTTTCGCATTTATCATATGGAATTCATGGACATATGCTGTAAGAAAAATGTAGACAACTCAAAGTGGTTTGATCATCAGGAGTTAAATATCTGGATTTTTGAATGTCCTTAAAAATGAGATAGTGTGCTTGTGTAGCTTTGACTTCTTGACTTTCAGGGTTTTTGGTTTGAAAGATACTGTGTTGTAAAGTTTGTTTTTTTTTCCTCCTAAGTGGTTTACAGTTTTTTAACAAAGCATTTTCCATGGTATTTCCTTGGAGCTGCTGAAGTATATAGGTAAATGACAGTGCTGTGAATGTTTTGAACTTTAAGGGCTCTGTGTTCATTCTGTTTACTCTCCTGGAGACCAAGCATCAGTTAAACTAAGCAGGGGAGAATTCCT